TGCGTGCGTGTGTGTGTGTGTGTGTGTGCGCGTGTGTGTGTGTGTGTGTGTTGTTGAAGTTTTCAAAATCACAGCGCAAAGGGAAGTTGATGTTATCTTGCCTGGCCCCACTTTTAAGTTTCATCCATTTCTGCCGACCTTTGGCACTTGACAATCACTTGCTACTTGGATTGCTCGGCCAAACTCTTGTCAAAAGAAAAGAATCGACCTCTTGAATGATGTTTACTTGAAATTCTATGTTAGTTTTAGTAGTAAAAAGCCTCGCCAACCTGTCAGTCGTCTCTTATTCGCATGCACTCTCAAATGTTCAGTCATATTCGGTCACATCTACTCGGGTAACTGGGCGACACATCAATTTAAAAATTCATAGGAAGTGTTGTAATCATTTATATGCTTTCTTCAAGAGTGTATAGTTCGTGTGGGTCCAGAGATCGCTTGATCGAGTTTCAAATATACTTGAGTAAAGCTTTGAGAACATAGAAGTCCATTCAATTGACGTGTTCAGCAGTGTATCATTTCATTGAACAGTTTTGGCTTCATGATCTATTTAACTACTTAATCGTCACAAAATCCCTGTCTTGCCCTAGTTCTCCTACCCCCCATGGTCTAATTGCCCTTCAAATCTTTGGTATCGTTCACCAGGCCCTCCATCACCAACCTCAAGCTTTCTTGATTCGTTACAGCGCGCGAGGCGGACTTGAGCGGCGGGTGAGGTGTCGGTTGCCCTTACCTCCTCCGAACAAACTGGTCTTATCGCCGCTGGCGCATTCATGATCTTGTTGCCGTGGCCCGTGTTGACTCGTCCATTTCCGAGGACTGCTGTTGTAAATATGAAGATCCTTCCGGCGCTTCTTGCTGTCGCAGTGGACAGTCGCCACGACATACGGCTGATGACAATGTCCGGGGAAGACGTAAAGTCAATGACGGGGGAGCTGGTTCATTCTTCGGGTCAACTGGAATTGTTCAGACTCTCAGATGTTCACGTCCTCTTGTGTGCGAAGTCGGCCGAAACGTGTGTGTTCATGGTCCAATGTTCGATGCGCTCGTCCGTGTTCATGCCTCAATGTTTAATGCGCTCGGTGTGTCCTTGAGATTCCTGCGCTATCAGCCTGATAGTTTGTGTGCTATGTCAGCAGTAGACCCAAAAGATTGAAGAGACTCACCTTCACACTGCTAACGTCCGAGGGTCGAGGGCAATCCATCAATATGTAGCAATTCTGTGCTCCAGGGTAGAGACGGATGTTCCTCGCTAAAGATGGGTCGTGCTCTGTGCTTCCCGATTTGGATGAGATGTGTCCTGTCATTGGCGCGTCCGAGTCATGGATCTCGCAAGATCCATCCACTAGACTAGCGGCGGCTCATGCCGATCGTGTGTGGTATGGGGCTGCGAGTCGCTCGAGATCGGCGGCAGGATCGCGTCTCCGCCATTCACCGTCCTTGGTGAGCCGAGCGCAGGTTACCGCCCTTGGAGGGCATGCGCCATTGGCCTGGTTGCCGCGTCCTCGGGGGTGGTTGATCATGGTGGAGTCTGGCGTCAATGAATCCTGACTGGTGTGGATCGCGTAGCTGATGTGGATGACAATTGGTGACAGGCTGAACCGTTAGATGGTAATCGGTGCAAGGTAAACGATGTTCATAAGTGGGTTCACCGTTAGATGCCGAATTCGCGCCAACGTTAACGGATGTCAAAGGCCATTGGTGGTAAAGTCAATCGTCAAACGGCTTGGGGCAACGCAAATCGGGTTCGTAATGGGCTCGGGCGTCGGATGTCGTATTTGAATCCAGCAGGGACCGAAATTATCGGGACTGCGATCGACTCAGCCGCAAAATAGCGTAGGCACTTTTATTGCGGTCTCGGGGGTCACGCCAACGGTTAATTGTACTCGGCTCGGTAGTCGGACGTCTTATTGACTGATTGAGACGGAGGCCTATGCCAGCGGTAATCTTGTTCAGGTCGGTCGGGATCGTATACGATTTGTTCTTCAAGCGGCAAAGGCAACGCCGCGCGTGTTCAGCTTGATCGATCATTTATGCGTTGTTCTCGAGGCGGCAACGCCAACGCCAACGGAATCGTCTTCCGCTCGCTCGGGCGATCGTATACGGTTTGATCTCAAGGCAGCAAGATCAATGCCAACGGGAATTTGTGTTCGGCTCGGTCGATGGGTCGTGTACGTATTGCTCCGATTGAAACTGTCGCTTCCAACTACCCCACAGCGTTAGCGAATGCAGATCCTCCCATCGACAGTCGATTCCTTCGGCTTGCCGCTGACGAATATTGTCATATTGTTTCTGGTGCCTTGTTCATCACCCGTAGTAGTTGGGCTTCGATTGGGAAAAGTCTGTTGTGAGTGTGAAAGGTTGAGTTTGGCTGTAGAAGGCATGTAAAGTGGGGAAATACATGATTTAGTGGACATGGCAGGCAACAGATTGGAAGGCGCGCACTGAACACGGAGGGGTTGACGAATACGAGAGATAAGAACTATTCGGTAGACACAGGTACGGTAAATAAGAGAATGGGGAACTGATTTTATTGATAACTTGATTCGTAATAAGCCGATCCATTTAGAAATATGCGACCGTGGTGAATATCTGGGGTTCTGTACTCTAGTGACCGATACCATCACTCAGCACTCGCTAGCTGGCGGACAACGACGGCACCACGTAGAGGCAAGTCGTATTCAGTGGTACCAGTTCTAAAAATTTTAATCCATTTTCAAATAGTTACCCGAGTCGTATTCCAGCTTATAGAGGAGTCTATTCAATTAATACGTTGCGAGTGTATGTTCGTCTCCTCACCGCACCGGTTCTATGTTCTATGTGGCTGCTCAACCATCTGGTCAACCTCACTCCACCTAGTTCTTGTTGCTCCTGTTCGGGTCACTCTTCCAAGTCATTCCGTTAAATCCAGTGTTTAATCTCCCTCCCATGGCGTGGGAGGCGAGATTGAAGGTGTCAGCAAGGTTTCCCAGCCATGTGACTCACATTAAACAAGCCAAGAAAGTTCTGAAGATGTTCAGCAATACTGAACCAATAGGGTCGTGGTCAAGTCATCATATCACCAAGTGCATCAATTGAATCATGTTGATAGGATACGAGAGGTGATATATTTGACGTCCATCCTTCCTCGCCTCTATCCATACTCTATGTAACCTGTGTTTTATTCACCCATGCTTCCGCTCAAATTCTGTCTCACATCAGACATAGTTTGCTGTCTAGCCCAGCAACAAGTTCAGCGTACTCCAAATGCTATTATGAGCTAGCATGAGGTAATCAAGGTATTTCGCCTCCTGTGATGGGCTGTTCTTCTTCGACTTGATCTCCAAGCGAAATATTTATTTGAAGAAGCGCTGAGAGACAGGATAACGGACAGAGGTAGTCTTCCTGGAAGGAAGGGTTGAGAGCCCCTTCCTAACGCCCGGAAGAGAAGAACAGTTGCTCTGTCCAGGTTCCTCCAGAGCCACCTGTACTCGGGTAGGCTCCTCGTGCTCAGCGAGAACCTGTCGCGAGGCCGAGACCTCAGAACCGCCAGTATCGCTGTCTCTATCATCCTGATCATGATGTATATCGGATGACAGTTGACGGGATGACCCGCGCACGCTTGAATGAGCCTGGGCTGCTGCGATTTGCTTTCGCAATTGCTGGGCTCGCTTCTTAGCCTGACGAGTTGCCTCTTGCTCCTGGTGGACTTGTTGGTCAGCTCTGTCGAACCGAGATCTCTCGGCGGAAACGTCGTTTTCCAATTCTGCCACTCTACGACGGAGTTTTGCAATCTCGTTGGTCTGGGCCTCAGTGGCCTGAGCTTCAGTGACCTGGGCCACAGGAGTACCAGGACCTTCAGCTTGCCCAGTAAGACCACCTTGTACTGGACGCAGACCCCGAAGGCTTGCACAATCGTCTCGAAGCGCGTTGATGTCAACCTGAAGGGCTCTCTGACCGTCTTGCGTTTCTTTGTGATTGTTGGTCACAATCTGTCGCAACTCGGCCAATACCTCTTTCATTTGACTGAGCTCCCTCTGGACGCCATCGACATCTATTCTCTCCATTCCATCGGTAGGCCTACCGTGCGCTGGGAACCCCCTGTCCGATGGAGATTGGAATGCGGCAGAAGGGGACTCGGCCCGTGGAATTGCACCATCATAATCATCACGATTATAAGATGAAAGAAGGAGAGGTAAAGCCGATGAAGGAGGCCCCGGGCGTCCAAAGAGATGGGACGAATTGACAGTCGGGAACCGAGGCGTTCCTGCGCGTTGTCTCAGCCCGAAGCCCCGAAGGCCTCCAGTATCTTGTCGCTGTTCCCCAAGCTGGTTCCTGCGAGGAGGAGGAGGGCGAGGGAGATCAGCTTGGTTCGATGCCGGACTTGAAGCCCGTGAAGAGTCTCTTTCGGACTCACGTCTAAGCATGTCATCAGGAGAAGTACTGCCTCGACGAGATGCTTGGACGACAACGGATACCCCTGGTCGCGATTGCTCAGGGCTGGGACCGGCAGGATTTTCGCCATCATCCGAAGACTCGGGGTCGATAGCCATTTGGCTATCGTCGGGGGCGTCCTCAGGCCCGTCGACAGGAGCTCCAACGACGGGAGCTTCTTCTTGCTCCTCAGCCTCCTGCTCAATTGACGGTACGGCAGCCTCGGGCCGAGGAACGTTGTCATTGTTAGCCTGTTCGGGCTGAGACCGCTTGTCGAAAACGTAATAACGAAGAAGCTCTTTGTAACCTCGCTTCATGAACTCTTTGATCCGCTTTGCATCGGGGAGTTCTTGCCTCTTCTTGATAGCCTTGTAGGCATCAAGGGCCTCCGCTGTGGTACAGTTGTAACTGTTGTCGATGGCCTGACGGATGACATCTAGATCTTCCGTGGTGACGGGCAGAACATGCCTTCCATGATGAGTCAAGAACTCGTCGGGTGGCTGTTCTTGGGGGTATTCTTGGGCTTTGACTATTTCGCCAATGCGAAATAGCAAGCCAGAGAAACGAGTAAGGGTTTCACCCCCTTCCACGACATTGGCCCTTGCTTCTCCATGAATCTCATGGACTGGACGACTTCCACCGCAACTCTGAAACGCCCGTAGAGCCCCGGTGAGGTCAGGACCAGAGAACATGTCCACGTTGTGTGTCAGCCATGAACGCCGGTCATCGTAGCGGCACACTACTGCATATTGGATAGCAAAGACCAATCTGACCACACCGGTCCGAAAGCAGGGGTGAACAATGAGCTGGGTCAAAAGCTGGGAGAAGGTTTTGAGATATATCACGTGCTTTAACCCATCACCCTGAGGGTGATAGTACCTCAGGCCATGCGGTGGCGAGATGAGCCACAATGGGTTTCGCCTGCGAACACGGAGACAGACCTTGAATAGAGGCAGGAGAAGGGGATGGCTCTTCTCGGACATCTTGCTCCAGGCCTCCTTCTCGGGGGACTCGTCCCACAGTCGATCAACCTCTGCCTCCTCTTCGGCAGTCCAGTTCCCGTCAGGCGGTTTATGTAGGTAACCAACGAGCTCATCGATCTCGCTCGCATCAACGGGCTCGTTGGATTCAACCAACGTTTTGGCCGCTTCTGTGGCCACCGGATTCTCGTCCACGTTTTCGCTTTTGGAGGGACGACCGCGCCTCTTCTGCGGTGGCTCAAAATCGTTGGCCTCGGCCGGTCTTTTGGTAGGTGCCATGGTGATCCTGTCTTCTTCGTTAATTACGTGACTATGTTGTGATGGATTGACTTACTTTAAATCGGTTCAGGGTGTTGATCTTGACGTTGGCGTTTGAGCAATACGGAAGAATCAAAGAGGCTAAAAAAATTTCAGGCAGGCAGAATTGTTTACTCATTCACCACTGGCCTTCTGTTAGTGGACCTTGGACAGAGATTGATTGCAGCAAATCAAATGATAGTAACTAGAAATTGCAAACCAACTTGCAGTAGCCAGCACTGCAGAGTAAAGATGCTTTCACCTATCAACGATACTGTAACTAAATGATTCTGACTAAATGATTCTGACTAAATGATTCTGACTAAATGATTCTGACTAAATGATTCTGACTAAATGACTCTAACTTCTTTAAGACTGATAATTATAAGCCCGTAGTTAGGCTTACCATATTGCAAAGACTTAACTGCATCTTATATGGATGATCTAGCAATCGCCGAGATGGTATGTTTAGGGAATTCATATAGAGAGTCTAGATACTTGTGTTCTAAGGCAAGATAACGACACTGGCCCTCTAGTATGTGCTGTCTTGAATAAATACACGCTCGCAAAGCCTCTCCGCAATGCTCGGCGACACCAAGCACACGCTCGAATCGCAAGGGAAACTTCACCTGACAGAAGTGAGATGAGAATTGCCTAAAGACATAGAAGCCTAGTCGTGGTAGTGTACACTCGGTGGGAAAAGCACGAGTCGCGATGAGTTGACGGTACTATGGTTGTTCTTATTCCATTTCTTTTCAGCTTCCTTTATCTAGGTCGATCTCGTATGTTACCACCCGTACTTCTTACGCTGCCACTGTTGTTCCACTTAATGACTTATTGACACTACAGAGAGAAGATAACCACGAATCTACACGCGAATAGAAATCATCGCCGCATCCGGGAGTCCAAAGGTGTTGCTCCAGCCTTCCCTTCCCATCATCAACCTGTCTAAGCATTCCTTGGTTAGGATGGAAATGCGCTGTCTGCGGGAAGAGCTCAACATCAACAACTGGGCATTCGGCATGTTGTTCGCAAGCTCTCTTGCCGTCACCACCGTTCCTCTCACCACAACGACGCCGAGCTTCTCAAGTCACAGTCTTTGCTTTCCATCACTCTTGGCATCTGGAATTCACAATCTGAAGCGTTCTGAGAGTCCAACTGCGCTACCAATTCAACTACGTAAACGAAGCTGAAACCACAAGTAATCCGAGCTATCCATCATAGCCGACCTGGTGCTGTCCCTTCATCGCTTCCTTAATCCTCGTCCGTGGCATGAAGCATTGACTGAAGCTATTAGTACCTGCAGGCGAATGGGTGAGACTGAACTTACGAGAGGCTGTGGAAGCTCCTTAGTGGCCATTCTCAGGGGAGCGTTGTACTCGCACTGTCACCTTGTCACCCACGGGCAGGCCGCTCTTAGCCCTGGGCTGGACTGTGACCTCTAGGCTGTTCGCCCCAACATCTCGGAAGATTCGCTCCACGATTGCCTGCGCGCCTTCAGGGCTGTTGGCGAGCGCAACGATTCGGCCTGGAGTCGCATAGTACGGGTAACCGCCAGCAGGGGGCGCTGGTGCGTTCGTCGAAGCTCGCAACTCCTCAGCGCGGAGTTGAGCACGCGCCGCTTCAAGCATGAGTCTATGGGCCTCTACCTGTCGCTCATCGATCGCCAGCTGTCTCTCGGTGATCTCCAGCTCTTGCTGGATCGCCTCCAGCCGGTTTTCGGCGGCCTGCTGACGTCGCTGCGAGGCTTCGAGCTGTACCTCGGCCTCCTGCACAGCTGAGTTGAGTGCAGACATTGCAGATAGTTGAGAGGGTGACTGGGTAAAACCTGAGGTCGGTTTTGGTTGAGAATGGAGAGAAAGAGAGATGAATCTTAGCGAAAGCGCTGTGCGGACGAGAGTGATGTTGAGGGGGAGGTGAACGTTGGTGAGAGCGCTGTGCGGTGGAGAGTGATGTTGAGAGAGAAAAGCTGAAGATTTTCAGTCGAGGGTGCGGGGAAAACAGCCTTGAAAAGCAGCCGCCCGTGAATCAAGCTGTCATCTGCTTAGCACTGATAGCAGGTGCCTGCATTCACTGACACGAACACTGTTTTACGACATAGGAACTGGGGAACTCATGCTACAATATTATCTGCCGGGGTATCAGATGTTGAGCGCCGTCTGAATTGATTATCGTCAGCAACCTCATCACCGGCGTACTATACAATCACCAGTCCATGCAATCAAGCTCTTCCCATGGTTTCACATTATTGTATTCGAGTAGTAGCTCGACTGCTTAATGATGACAAAACAGCCGTCACACTTGAACTTCCTATGTCCTCGAAATGCTATGTCCCAAACTGGGTGAATGAACAGAGGCGACAGCATTCTGCTGAAGCCGGAAGAGATTATTGCCATGCCAGTTTCGATGTCGTTACATCTATTTTGCAAGTAATTGGTCACCCAAAGCAGAACATTGGGCAAATACCAGAAGATACGCAGACTCGTCTTCCAGAAGGGTTTGACATTGCTTAAACGTGAATCCTTATCGTTGAGACTATCAACACCTCGCATGTCACCCGAGTCTTTTATTGGACGTTCAACCGCTGAAAGTTGGTCGGAATTAAGGTCCCGGGTTCCAAAAGCTCCTGGGATCTCACCCACGCCCGTTTCTCTGAGTTCCGGGCACGCCTGGAGACATGCTGTTGTCACATTCAGAGCTTATTCGTCTCTTCTTGCATCACTCCCAAGAGTCCATTTCGCGCGTCTTTTCTTGTTCGGTTGGCAGCTGCCACCTTTGAAGACGGTTTCTCTTGTGAGCTCATAATAGGTAGTCGTTTGACGGATGCGGTGTCTGTAGGCGAAGCAGTTTGCAGTACGCTGGTTTTCAGTACAAGCAAGACAAATTACTCAAAGTATCGGGCGACAAGTGTTGAAAATCCCCGTCCGAAAATGGGCGAACAGGCAGCACTCAATATCCCGGAACATACCTAATGGTTCAGGGTTCTACTGGTAGAACATCATTTTTATTTACAGATACTGTCAATATAACTTAAATAGCTATGTGGTGACAATTATAGAGGCCATCAAATGCCAGTTCATTCTTGACGTAATAAATTCTGCCAATTTACCGTGTGCAAAAAACCGTTGCCGCATTGGGACGACCTGGGCAAAGGCAATCTCGTCTACCAAGTCCTACCGCGAGATTTTCAGATTCTTTCACATTACCAATTCTAATCGCTGGGTCAATGTCTGATTGAAGTCGCTGAAGACTATATTCACTTGACCGTTTGACTGACGTCGCTGAAGGTCATTGTCCTCTCGGTAGCTGGTTCAACTAACGTCGCCTGTAGGGTGGCATCCGCGCGATTGGGTTCCATATTGACCCCAGTAACGGTCAAGCCGCTAGAGACCGTACCTCCACCATCAATGACCCTTGTTTTCCTGATTTGGATGACGGTTCATTTACGATTGGTCAACATAGTCTCACATGGCGAGACTGTTAAACCTTGTTCGATTCTGGGCTCGCCTATCTCAATCATCGTAGGTGTCACTGGCATCGCGATGGCCAGGCGAGGTAGGATATGGGACTCGGAGATAGGCTGTTTTCGAGCTCCTCAAGGATTGAGTCAAGCGTTATTGGGTGGAGTGGACTCCAAGGCTTCGGAGCATGGATTGTTCTCGGAGCGTTTTCGCGTGGGTAACTCTTGCTTCCTCGGTCTATGGTAACGATGTTAGTTATGCGTCGCCATGAGCGGCGTTAGTTTCGTAGCGCACCTTGATGTAGCTCTGTGAATGTTACCATGTTCAAAAATTGAGAAGGCTAAAGTCAAGTTCGTTGAGGCATTGAGAGAACCCCACCAAGGCCTGAGTACTTCTATGTGGGGCGCTGTAACGAGGCCATTAACTGAAAATCAATAAGCATTGAAAGAACTCAAAGACGCCAATCGGAGCAAAGGAAAAGTACCGGCCCAATTTTACGTCAAATCACATCACTGATTACTTGGACAACACAGTTCGATCGTCCCGTTCAACAGTTGCGTCACCTCGTTTTATACGTTACCTGACCGATTCTCAATATATAACTGTGGCACCATCACTCCAAGTCCCCCACTGCTCCGGCGTTCCCCAAGTCGTCCGATTCTTTGAAGATACAACCGTGGTTACCGTGACCCAAGAATCCCGCGTGAGCACTGGGGTCATAGTGACTGAAGAGTGTAATTCAAAATGGAGACCTTATTGCCAGCGGAGGCAAGGATAAAAAAAGATGTATCTTAGCGACGTTCACAAATCCCAACCTGTGTCTTTGGTGCATAAATGTAAGGTCAAGGACTAACTGATTGAATCGCCGCACACTCTAGATGTTCTGTTTTAGTATTAATGGATATAATCATTCTAGATCTTCTGTTTAAAATACCTGTAGCGACCTCCAGCATGTAGTAGATGGAAGCTTTCGTAATCTCCTGTATTGATGAACAGTGGCAGATATTGCCATCCCCCGTGTCAGATTTCATCTCCCATTGTTAAAGCTACCAATATCAATTATTCCGAATGATCCGACGACGGATTAATATACCCAACCTCTCAGCTACCACAACAGTCTTTGTACCCTACATCATCACACACACAAGTACCACTGCAGATCGCTGTAAGTTGAAGCCACCTCTTGTTGCGTATTATGCTAATGAGCTTAGATCATGTCCTCATCTATCGACCCTGCGATGCGACAAGCTCTCGAGAGCTTCCTTGGAGAGGATCTGCAGCGCGCAGAAGGAGATGCCGGGCCCTTATTTGGGCATATCACCATGCCTCCGTTCCAATTAGAAGGAGTGCCGCAAGTCATTTTCGACTTGCTTCCGGTTGACCGTGCCAAGACCTTTATCATCCATGTGAGCACGGACGAAGTTGAAATGCCGGACGTGGAAGATGGCCAACTTCCAATCGAGAATTTCACGTTTTCCGACTTCCTCAACCTTCTCATACGGAATATCCAACAAGGAATGGGAGGACGTGGCGGTTCGGTAGAGTGGCCGTCTGCCAAGAACTATATCAAGGTCTGGCCTGAAAAGAGAGTACTACCACACAAGGCCGTCATTGTCATGCAGCTGAACTCGCAAGTCTCTGCAGAGTGCGCCCTGGCATTGACTTGCGCTGTTGATTGGGCCTGTGCTGAGTTTGACTTCGAACGGGACATCCGTCTCATAACGATATCGTCGCCGATCGGGCCGGACCTTCTGTTCAACCTCGTTGCTCAACAGCAAGATGAGCCTCATGTGGCTCTCTGTGATATTGCGTCTCTGGTGAAGAGAGACGCCATAGATGGCTGTACCGTCTTCACTGGCCACTCACCGGAGCAGACTGCCAAGAAACTTTACGATGCCATCAAGAGGTCGAACGATATTAAGCGCCTGGTTGTTTCGTTCGATGAAGGCGTCGAAGACCAACTCATGGACCTTTTGAGCCAAGAAGAGAAAGAAAAAGTCCACCAGGTTCAATTCTTCCCCTCCTCTGAGGCCTCAACGAGGCTCAAGCTGACAGGGAATTCCAAACCCGGGAGAACAACATTTGCAACAGTCCTGGGCCAGTTTGAGCATCTTCCTCTGAGAATAAGCGTTTTCCAGGAAGTTCATCTGGTACTTAGTCGCATCGACTGCAGGACTCCTGCCTGGGATAACATATCTCGCCAAGTACTGGCATACCCGCACTGGACATCTAAGCAGGACCGCCTTTCACAAACATGGTGGGCGTACCAACCCAAGGGAGTGGCAGTTTCGGTGTACTCGGACAAGTATGAGCCTAGTGCCTTTGTGAATGAAGGCGTCAACCATGTGCGTCTCGTACAAGGTGCCCAGCTTTCGGGATATATCGCTGCTGCGCTGGATCTGATGTCCATGGGGATTGGATCTAGAGAGACCATCCAGCTCTTCGTCCAGTCTCCCCTGATTATTGAAGACATGAAGCAGAGGCTTGCTATGCAGGGTCTCATCTCTACCAACGGTCTGAATTTGAATGAGACCGAAGCGCAACTCTTCCGGTGTCTCCTTCCCAAGGTCAATTATGACCACCGTCTTGCCATGCTATTGGCACTTGACTCCAGCGCAGCCGTTCGTCGTGTCAAAGCCCAGTTTGCCGCCGTCTTGATTTCTGAGACATCTTGTAGATTCATATATGACAATGTGGACGACGTGGACCGGCAAACCGCATTCAACTGTTGCCGTGGTCTTGTGCGGTCCCTTGCAAGCCAGGGAACCACTTGGGCCGCCCTTGGCCTCACCAAGTACAGGCTCGCGGTCGCAAGCGATCCCAAAGGCAGGAGTAAGCTCAGTGACATCGTGGACTTCAACGATGAGGCCGTGAATGTGGTGTCCGATGTCTGCTATGAACTCTTGGAGACCTTTCTCGCGTTTGGCATCGAAGTCGATACCGATTCGATGGCAACCGAAACGGACGAGCTGAACGAAGCTGAAACGCTTCAACTTCAGAGAGACCTTTTTCAGGCTTACATGCATCAGATTGTTTTCTTCAGCTACCAGAATGGAAGCGACGGACGAAGCCATGTGCCCGAGTTCATGTCTTTGACCTCAATGAAACCCTGCGGGTTTTCTGTTCACCTGTCTACGCTAGATGCGCTCATTGATGTTGATGGGCTGACTCGAGCGACGGGCTTCAAGACCCTATTCGGTATTTCCCACACGTTGAACCGGTCGTTTGGGTCACTCGCCTTTGACCATTGGGTTCTTATCCCTGACGAGGTGGTCACTGAATGGTCGGCCGACACAGGTCTCAGTCACTGTAATCTCGTGTCAACATTTGTGCACCAGGAGTCAAACTCTGCTGAGGTCACAAGTGACATGCTCTAGGCTATATCTCTGGGTAGATGGCCACAAGGAAAGTCCGTAGCATCATACTACCGGCGTATGGACTGGATGGTGTTGGGGTGAGTCTCCGGAATGAACAAAACCCCAGATATATGTGACGGCCGCAAACCGCCACAAGAATAGATGAGCTTATGATCAGACTATTGTTAGAATTAAAATGTAGTTTCCCTTTCTCACGTCCATCATATATGTCACACGCTCCATAACTCTTGCATGACGCTGCAAACTGTAGATCAAAGAAAAGAAAACATCCAACGTATGAAGCAATCCTGTAAATGTTGAACAATTATCCTCCAAGGCTTAGGCTACAGGAATTAAGTAGCCTGAATTCCAGTATGGATCAACCTGATTGTTTGGTCTTTTATGGTCTCATGCTGGCAATGATCGGCTAAGTGCGTCTATGGTTGGAATGACATCAACGGTTCTTGCGGCGCAAATGGTGATGTTCACTCGGTCCTTTGTTCCATCCAAGTCACCATCAACTACCTTTAGGAAAGTCTCGTCATTTACGTTGAAGGTTAATGGATTTAGTATCAGCGGCTGGAAATTAATCGTCAGGCGCGTACATGTAGTAGATGTCACGGAGCTCAGTCACACACATTCACATTTAATCATTTGCTCAGCAGTCAGAGTCAAAACATGTCCATTCCATCATCAGCTAGCAAAGGTAGAGTTCGTAGAATAGAAAAGTAAAAAGCCAGTATTCCCTGATCTACAGGGAATACTTTACAGCTACACCTTGTAGCTGCTTGATCCGAGCCATGAAAGAAGGCTTGAGGATGACTGTTTAATTGCGTCCTTGCAATTAACCATGAAGAGGCAACTGGCCTCGGGAAAGGGCCAAGTTAACGGCCCGGTCCCAAAAATAAGCTCGCACCGGGGAGTATCTGGCCCAGGTGTCCATCACGGCATCTGTACGTTCTCGTACAGACTTCTCATCCTGTTGTCCCTCGACGACCCAATCCTGGAGCGCAAGCTCGACCTTATCCCCTCGTACCTTGAGGATGGCATGGATCTCAGGGACCCATCGGATCAGGTTATCCTTCCTCGTCATTGAAATGGCGAAGAAGTCGTAGTCGGGGTTTGAAACAGTGTTCCAAACCTCGAAAAGGGAATCCATCGTCTTCGAAGACAAGACGATGTCCTTCTTCTCGAAAAGTGTTTCATGACACTTCAGATAATGAAGGAGGGGATGGGGGCGACCCAAGTACGCTTCCGTCGCCCACGAGACAACCTGGAACCAGACCTCACAAACAGCCTTTCTCAAAGGGCCGGATGTGGCGCTATGGCCAAGGTCTGGATGGGGGCCAACCACCAGTGACTTGGGGAGACCATCCTCATTCTTGGTCCATGCGATAGCGACATCGCGAGGGGTAAACTCGCTGATGCGCCCAAAGAGCTTACCCTCTTTACCAAGGAGGAGGTCAAAAAAGTCTACCCATGGGGGTAGCGCAAGTTCAAATGGGCCAAGACAAGGCCCGGTTGGAGAGGGAAACTCCACAATATCCCAGATCTGCTGACGCAACTTGAGATCCGGGCATGGTGGAGGAATGCGGCCCACCTTGAAAGCAGGTCGGTAGGCCTGGCGAAGAGGCGGCTTCTCATCTCAGGAAACGGTAGGTGATCCCGTCTTTCCATAGGCAAGGACGCCGTCCTCACGAAGGCTTGCCAGTCTGGCAAGGAATCGATAGTGGGACTTATCTTCCAAGTCCTTCCATTTGGCCTCCTCCTCCTTCTTCGCCTTGTCCATGGCCTCCTGCTCAATCTTGTCCTCCAGCGCGAAGCCCTTGAATGCGGACGTGATTTCGCCCACCTTCTCTCGATTGGCAGCGAGACGAGCGGCAGCGAGAGCGGCCTCGTGAGCCTCATCGCGGGTGGGCTCAGCTTTGGAGTTGGCGTTGTCGCCAAACTTGTGAGCCAGATGAGGGGGGACCTTCATAGGCTTCTTCTCTGCTCTCGCTCTAGCGAGAGCAGCAGCAGAGGACTCAGCAACCTGTGGTGCCGCAGCAGGTTGCGCAGTGGGCTTTCGAACGGCCCCGGATGAGGTTGCCCGCGGGCTAGACACAGGCTTTGGTGGCACACGAGGAGCCACCGAAGAGCCACCTTGCTCTTGGCCAGGCTTGGGTGGCTTTGGCCCACGAGGATTCGAGGGGCCACCCTGCTTGGGGGCAGGCTTGGGAGGCTTGCCTGTGGCCTGAGAGGTGGCCGGCTTAGCCTCAGGCTTGACACCCTTTGGATCCTCAGGATCCTTGGGGTTTGAGGCTGAGTGGACTTCAGCCTCCAGCCAAGCTTTGTAGGCCTGGGATATGCCCTGCCTCTCATCTTTATCTGAGGGGCGCATGATCTTACCCCACGGCCAGCAGAATTCGTACTTATCAAGCGATCGAAGCTTGAGGTACTCCTCCCAGGTCCCCCAATCGACTGTATAGTCGAAGAAGGCGGCTCCCACCTTCTCAAAGCCCAGTTTGTGCAGGCGGATACAGGCCTGCAACTCTGTCTTCTCACGCGTGAGCTGCCACTGGAGCTCGTTCCAGTGGAAGTCGTGATCGAGCTTTCTCTCGATCCAGTCCCTGCGTCTCACACGATCGGAGGGATCGAAATTGGCGTTTGGGGCAGGGCCCCGGCTGGAAACGGCTTCTTCCCACATATTGATTCTAAATACCGAGTTAGTCGAGTCGTAGATAGAACAGTGGTAGGTCTTACGAGTTGGTCGTGCAGTGGGTGATGTTGAAAAAGAAAGAGAAAAAGAAAAGAGGGGCAAAGCGAGAATGAAAAGAAAACAAGCTAAGTCAACACCTCGCTAAGTTGTTCAGTGGTAGGCAGTGGCCGATTTCCGCGCGGTCACCAGCTGCCAAATAGGCAGCACTCAGGCCTCATTTAACGTGTTTGAACATTTTAATTGATGAGTGGGGTTAGCTTCCTCTACATTGGATATTCCCATCTCAAGTTGAATGAAACGCGGTTACAAGTGCCCTACCTTGACACCCATATCAATACCATATCAACGCCAACACAGACGTCAAGTGAATCACCGATATGTTTGGTATCCTGCCACCCTACCATTCTGCAAGCAATCAACCTTACCATTCTAACAAACAAGCACGAAATTTTAGCACTCTAATGATCGACAACTCTCCGTTTCAGCGACCCTTGGACTCATGCACAGCGACCATAGATCTCGTACCTCATTCACACGTAAGGTAACTTTCGATCAGACTCAAACAATGTCGTCGCTCAGGTTCCATGTCGAGTGAGGGAGATTATTACCTACACCGTTGCGACATCTCGCTGACTAGTTGCTCTAGAAAGAAATTACCGCGATACCATTCCCTCCCTCTCCCTCACCGCGCCTCGAAGATACTAGAATCGCTCAACCGTTCGTGCTGTCACCACGCATCCTCGATCTGCTCCGTGGCACCAATTTGACTCCTCAAACGTATGGATTATCGCGCCGCGGCAGTGTTGCTGGATTGCCCTTGCGACATTGTCAAACAATTCCAGGCTGGCGGATGACCCTACCATGTTAGTTGACATGCGTTGCGACTCTGCTATGTTCCCGACTATCAGGTATCTCACAGTGCCTTGAGGCGATGTTTTAGAACTACTAAGATGGGTCAAATTGCGCTTATAGCTGAAGAAAAGGATGGCATTGTGGATGTTTGTCCAGGGATTGGGAGTCACCTCGCAGCACGTATTATATCATCTTGCGATCCCGATCAATCAAATTAAATGTACAAATTTGGCGACCGCAAATAGTTCAATGACGGTGCCAATTGAGATTTTCTGAATGGTTGGATTGATGCAATTGAGTGGTCTGCTCCTGCCATGTGGAGGGCTCTTCCATGTAAGGGCCAACAGCTCCTTCCCTCCTGTCGTAGGTACCCATATCGTCAACTAAAAAATTCGAGTCTGTGTCTTCATCCTTTCAATTCCATCACCAAGTGCCCAAACCGTCAAGATGTCAGAGCCTACAATCATTCAGATGGACTACCTCCGTGGACTTCTCCGCCGCTCGAAAATAGATGAAGACCAATCCAATTTCATCTACGGCCAGATCGAAGCTGCCTGTCGCGAGATAGAGCAGAAGAGGGATGATACGAATCGCTTGAAAGAGCAGACAGAGATATTGACTCGGGATCTCGAACGAGAGAAGGCGTCTTGCACCTCCCAGCAAAACGTCTTGCGAAACAGGTTGCGGCACCTGGATTCTTTTCTTGTAAAGCAAAAGGCATTACCAGGTAGGCTCGACAGCATTGTCGAGTCTGTATCCCAGTCGAGGCACGATGTGATTTCCGAGATTGGGAAAAACACTTCGACCTTGGCGGAGATTGACAATCGGTCAAAGTCTGACATTGACCAGTCTACGAGCAGCATCAATGGTCGGCTCGATACCTTGGCCGGTGTCGTTTCAAAGACGAAGGAAGATGTCATTGCTTTCGTCGGAGACGGAACCTCGAGTACGGCCCACGGGCTCGAGAAACTAGTACAAAGGGTCTCTGAAGTTCAATCTGATCAGCAGACCTTCCGACAGTCTATCAAGACTGACACCGATGATATCATCGGTAAGCTTGATGGCGTAGCTGAAGCTGGTGAACAGTCAAGCGCCAGATTAGATGCGCTGAAGGCTTGTTCCACCAGCATTTCAGAGGCCTTGAGGAAGTCTGAAATCCAACAAAACGATATGTCCCAGGCTTTTCAAAGTCGGTTGGACCTCAATTTGGCCAAGGCAGACTTCCATACCCGCATTGAGTCATTTGAGGGCCATGTCCAGAGTCAAATTGGGGTCCTGAATGACAAGACTCAAGGCCAGCTCGGTAAGCTGGGTCAAGACGTCCGGGACCAGATTGATTCTCTTGACGATCGACTCCAAGCCGGGTTTCGGGCTGTCAATGACCTTCCCACTAGACTTGGGGCCCTCAACGAGCAGGCCAAGACTCAAATTGGGTCATTGGCCGAACTTGAGAAGTCAATCGGTGCTTTACCCTCCAAGTCAGACGTCCTTTCTGAGATCGCTCGTCAGCTCGCCCCTCGCACTGAACAAGATGAGTTGACGGGAAGATGTGAGCGCTTCGAGGAAGAGGTTGCTAGATTAACATTGGACAACGACGCTTATCAGCGTCAAATCGTTGATATCCAGACAGGCAACCAAGCAGAGCTGATGAGGGTCCAAGAGGACCTTAGAACTGCTCTGAGAAAGGAGCAAGAATTGACCGATCGAGTTGGCCGCCGAGATGACACCATTGAATGGTGGCAACGGCAGGCCGTGGAGGTTGAGGAACACTATTCACAGTGTGGCCCAAGATTTGACCGGTGTGAAGAACAGCTTTGGATGTGCCAGGCTGATCTTCAGGAAGCCCAAGCGAGACTGGAGCATATGGTGCCTGTTGAGAGGTTTCAAGAGGCAGTTTCAAAGGCCAATGGTCTGCAGCAAAGGGTGACAGACCTAGAGGCAAGCCTGGAAGATATGAGAGAGCATAATGCCGCTCAATCCAAGACCCTCGCCGACACGGTCTCTGAGACCGAACGGGAACGTCAGCGGGTAGCCCGCGCTGAAAGTTATGTGACACAGTTAAACGGAAGGGTGTCTGAAGCTAAGACTGAGCTTTCACAGTTTAGAGCTCTTTCGGACCAGAACCGAAGTCTGCAAAATGACTTGATCAGGTCACTGGAGTCGCAGAGAGCCACATTGGAAGAGCAGCTGGTTGACAAGCGAGATCTTGTCGTTTTGAAAGCGCAAAAGGTCGACTTGCTGCAATCCAAACTTGACGATGTCCAGGGCCAGCTGCAACAGGCATTGCTTGAGTCCTCCGGCCTTCAAGAGGCTTTGACGGCTGCTGACGCCAAGATCGAGTCTCTTGGTCGTAAGTTGGAAAGCGAGGCCACGTGTGACCTCGCTTTACAGCTTGAACAAGCTACAAGCCGCATCTCTACACTAGAGAACCAGCTTGAAGCTGGCGTTGTGGTTCCCAAAGGTCAGTTGGGTGGCCTCTCAGCTATGTATATTCAACTGGCTGAGCAGGTACGGGATATCCCAACGGCAACTGAGGATTGCGAGACCTTTGAGCTCTCTATAGTTGCTACTGAGATTGCTCCTCTACTTGTAGAGTATGGTGCAGTAGAGAGACTCCAGGGGTTACTGGAGAGTAACATAACAAGCTGGTGTTGCCTCCAGCAGGTAGTTGAAAGTAGCCCTGAGATAAGTCAAGCTCAGGGTACACACTGCTTACAGCACCCAACTGGGTGTATACTAGTAAAGGTACTTAAGAGGGAAAATGTAATTTTAGAGTTTTTTAATAATAAATAGTTAGCTATCCTTTATAGCTATAAAAGTCTTTATCTTATTAATTAACCTTTTACTTATAAGTTTCTTTTTAAAAAAGATTAATCTTTTAATTATTATAATAGTATCATTAGCTCTATATAAGCTATTATACTAAAAGGTAATCTTAGCTTTTATACCTATTATAACTAGCTAAGTAAAAGTAGCTTTTATAGCTTAATTTCTTATAAGCTCTTATAAGAAAACCTTTTAGTATCTTATTATAACTATAGTTTTTTAAGTATAATCTTTTAATATAATCTTTTACTATAGTTTTTTTTAGTATAATCTTTTACTATAGTTTTTTAAATATAATCTTTTACTATAATCTTTTACTATAATCTTTTACTATAGTTTTTTACTAT